ACATTGTATAAAATTAAAGTCAATCGAATGATAACTTTGGCCTGTAAAGCATCCACAAAATTTCTCAAAGAGGTCAAAACTCAATCATTATTAGAAATTGTTAAAAATCAATAGGATTCTTTGTCTTTCTAAAAGAGGCAGTCATTACTGGAAATTGTTGAAAATTAATAGGCTTTTTCGTCTTATGATCATCAACACTGTGCATAAATTTAAAAGTCAATAGGATATTATTTGTAGTCTCTAGAGCATCCACAAGATTTCCCAAAGGTCAGGGGCCGTAAATCGTTGAAAATCTATAAGCTCCTCCGTCTCATGGCCTTAAACAGTGCGTATAAATTCCAAGTCAATGGCATATATTGCCTTTATCCTCTAGAGCGTCTACAAGCAATTGTGAACTCTGACCAACAGACCGGCCGGGTGAGGGGGGGTGGAGGGCGCAGAATATACGACCACATTTCAATGTAGGCTTATGAAAAAGGTGCATAATCACCAGATGTAGACTTACATTCTCGCAAGGGGCACCTCGACTTATACACTGACCACTTGAGATGTTCCAAATGCTCCTAAACTGACAGTGAGTACTTAGTTGGGAAGACTCATACACCATGCACACAGAACCGAGTTTTTATCTTAATTATGCTCAATATAATCTGAGCAAGACCTTACTGTCTGCTTCAACTTAGTGCTGGTAAGACACTGATATCGATGACGGGGGCAACCACCGAAAGCGCAATGACAAAACCGAGAGCCTCCTTATTTACGATCTGACCCCACTCGGTTGTTATATAGCTTCTTTCAACTTACGCTGCAAAACATTACAACCATTTAAATTTTGGGATTTTTTTTTATTATTCTTAATCAATTTTATACAACCACAACATAATTAACCATCATGATAGAACAATGTAAGTTCTACAAATTATTCAAATAAATGTCATTTATTTACGAGTCGTTAATGTAACAATCATTTTCATTTTAAATCACATGTTTTTGTCACAATCAAAACAACAAAATTTAATGATCAAGTATTTGATTATAATTTTTATTCACGTGCGCCTGTCATTGAGTCAACTGGCGTAGTTTCGAATCCCCGGTTGTACATGACAAGGAGTAGGGTTGCCTGTCCAACCTCGTGGGTTTTCTCCGGGTCCTCCGGTTTCCTCCCACTGTTAAAGACCCCTAAGCGCAAGCGTATTATTGAAATAAAATACCATACGTTAGTCCCGAAATGACCTAGTCTGTGTCGAGTGGACGTTAAACCCCATTTCCCTCTCTATAATTTTTATTGGTTTCAACACGCTCCATTACATTTAGATAACAGGAAATTGAGTAGTTTCTTTAATATTTGTAATAATCTCTCTATTTTCGCTACTATTTATGACCAGGGCTTTTTTTTATGCGATTTCATAATCAAGTAGAGAAACTGACCCTCGTGATGGCATTTGACTTTCAAAATCCGAGCGATCGATTGACGGATTTGTCTCTAATTTTGCATTTTGCAAACACCTCCGATCTAAACATATATTGTCCAATCACGGCAAATCGAATATTGATTTTTACCGCCCGACAAAGCTCTACGTTCCGACTCCTCTCCGGTATATAGTGTTTCGCATTGGCTCATTGAGTACGACATTGGCTCGCGAACCTGGAGGTCTTGTGGTTTGGCCTTGTTAGTGGTGTAGGGCGGAGGGCCTTGCAAAGGACAACGTCTAGTCATTCGGATTGGACGACAAACCTAGGTCCCATGTACACATTGGCGTGCACGTAAAAGAACCCCTGAAAATGAAATGAAATGGGGTTTAACGTCCTACTGTTCTGCTCCAGCTATAAGGGAAATTTTGCCCGGACAGCGGCACAATAGCCTTCTAATTTGCGAGGATTTATCAAATGGACATTACTCTGCGATTGCGGAGGAGTTTTTCTCTTGATTACAATATAGATTATCAGTGTTTCCCAACCTGGGGTACGTGAAAATAGTTCAGGAGTCCACGAAATCAAAGAAGTCCATGTGAAAAAATGTGGGTTCGTGAAAAAAGGACAGCCAAACCAAAATAGGCTTGGAATTTTTGGTATTCGAACAATGAATTTAGTTGATACCAGTGTTACATTTGCGACAAGTCACCAATCTAGTCGTGTCCACATTGTTGGTAATATTGTGGACAAACAGAAAAGTAGTCAACAAAATACATGTTTCAAGTATATTTGTTTCATAGTGTAACTTTTCTGGGTAAGATGGTCCATATTAGGTTTTATCAAAGACGAATGTGAAAGGTTGTGGCACATGCAGTAAATGCTAATGTAAAATGTCCTAAGAGGTCCGCGAGTGTTAAAAAGGTTGGGATCCACTGCTATACATGTAGTAGACAAAACAAAATTCATATAAGGCGCGCGTCAATTAAATATTTGCATCAGAACATCTGTGAAATCAAAATGATTAATAGATTCTCCCTCTCTCACCAATCGAAATTACAAAAACATTTGAAAAGAATCAGTTTTGTGGGATCCTTCAGAGACATAACATATTTTATCAAAGGAAACTAATTTAAAGGGCGTATGGCTCTATTTTTTGGAACCGTGAAACGGACAACAATGGTTCTAAACGAACATATTAAGTTGTAACGTGATTTACATTTAATTTTTGAAGAAAAAAAATATGATAATTACTGATCAATATTAAATGTTCGGTAAAATACGTAAACAGTTCAAATTCAATGGTAGTCCTTTACGCCTGCTTATTGCATTCTTCATGTTTTTTAAAAAATATTTTTGTCGTGTGTAAATCAGCCTTTACTAATTACTTCCACATTGTGTTGTAGGATATGTTTTTATTTGCTCATTACAAAATGGCACCCCAAACCATAGAGTACATGATATTAGGATCCTATAGTTTCACGGCAAGATAACAACAACAATACTGATTGAAATTGATCAATATTGAATTCTTATTATTATGGAAAATATTGAGTTAGACACTTAGCTTCTTTGATATACAGCTTGGAAATGTACTTTTGAAATGCTAATAAAAAATATGTACAACCAGTTGACATGGATGAGTGCTATATAATTGTAATAATATGGACCTGTCTAAAATCGGCATGAACCTTGCGGTTTTAATGGTTACAGGACCACGTTCATCACTACTTTATCAAAGTGTTACATCATGCAGTGATTCGTTTTCACAAAAATAAACAAAGTGGCTTCAATCAAGGGCGTAAAGATGCATTATGTAGGATTCGATAAAGAGCTGACAGTTCTCGCTATAATAGTTTTTTTTTAACAAAATGGATAACGAAAGGGAATATGTTGAAAATTTCAGCCAAATTACTTCATTTTGAAGAACAGTGTAGTCTAGATTGTCATTGATACCATTATAATAAGTCTTAAAGTCTTGATTATCCATTTTTTAATTAAATTATTAACTAGCAACTGTGTTTAAATTCGTTAAAAAACACAATCATCTGATGTTTTAGAGAGTTGATTATGGGCTTGGCATGTGAATAAATGTCTAATGATTTATATAATGCAACTTTAGACAATCCCCGTTGCAACCGCTTCAATTTGGAAGTAGATACATGTATATCAACCACGTTATATCATGTAAATGACTTTTCCTCGCGATGTGTGCGCACATGCTTAGCCACAGAACTGAATCTTGGTATACTCTGTCTTGTTCTGAACAATCTTGTAAACACGTCAGTTATTCTCTTTTTTTTTCAAAATAGTTCCAATCTTTTTATCCATCATTTCTTCTCGATTTTTTTTTTGCATATCATTTCAATTATTAAAGATAATTTCTAGATTGCAAACACACAATTTCTGATAACCGTGTACATTCTAGTCTTTATTCATTAACTTGGCTCTACTTTTTGGTCATCAAAGTGATAATATTTTCGTAAACAAAAAAAGTAATAGCACAGGTTGGTGTTACTCTCAACAAGTTCGGGGTCAATCCCTTGTAGAATCCCTTCACTCCTTCATACCTAAATAAAACATAAGAGAAATATAGTCAAAATTTATGAACTATTAGCCAGGACCGTAGGAATAGGGGCTGGGGGGATTGGTCCAAAGGTATGGGTTGTGAGTGTTTTTACTTCAAAAGATTTTAACCGGACTTCTCCAAACCCACAATATCTTAAAATGTGTTTGGGTCAACTTAACACAGTACAAAGAGCGATTATCTTGGATTATAGGTACACGAAGAGCCACTTTTTCAACGAACCTCAGTTAATGGCGCCATATGGTAGCAAATTGTATAAGCTTTCTGTGGAACAATCAATTTCTGGTAAAAATGATCGGAGTCACATCGACCAAGGCCCTTTCGAAATTGCCTCCTGGACAAATACGTCCATCATACCCTTTATTTGACCCTAATTTGGCTGAAAAGTGAAAGTCAGTTGTTGTACTGGTAATTATGATTCGTATTAAACATCATTTTGAAAGTGTAATTAAACCCACTCTTTGTTCTGTTCGGGTCACGCATTCTTGTCCAAAAGTCTGTCTTGCCTTTAATGCGAAAAGACAAAAATGTGACTTAGATCGTTCTTCCCCTGGACTCTTCACATATGTTTTACGGAAGATATTTAGACATTAGACATACACATTCTATAACCTGGGGTTATTATATGTACGTAACATTTTCTGTAATGCATTGAAACGTGTAGCCAAGTGTACAGGATATATTGCATATGTAATATTGATCCATCTGGAATATCTTTTGAACTTGACAATGCCCTGTTTGTTTTTGACGAATGGTGATCTGGGTCCTGCTTCTCGAAATCTTAACTAAAGGTAAAATCCAAATTTTAGTAGATACTTCAATTTTGATTGGCTAATCACTAAAATCAACCTAATATTATCCAATCAAATTACTAAAATTTGGAGTTTATCTTAGTTAAAATTTCGTGAAACAGGCCCCTGATTGTCATCACCGTATTCCGAAACACACGATATCTGATGTGATTGATTTAATTACAATTTTCAGATATAAAAACATAAGACAGTTGTCTCTCCCCACATTTATTTGTTATTTTTTAAGCGAATAAAAATAGATAGACATGTCTTGTCGACCTGTAAGTAGTGTGTATAATGTATACCACTGTAAATATGTAATAAAAGATAACATATATGGAGATTACCCTTAAGTACTCCTCATTCAACCATCTTACTCCACTCATCTCTCATTATTTTATTATCAGAAACCTAACAGTCTTAACTTGCCAAATCATACATGTACATCTGGGTCACTGATAGCCAAATCACTCTTTCCCGCAGAACTCTATTCTCAAATAGTGAAAAATTTGTCCACAGGAAAAATATAAAGAGACTTGACAAATTAATTTTGGTATTGGATTGAACTTAACCCCATAAATTGTATACTGAAGACTACAGTGATTTTATTGTCAGCAAACCAGAGTAGGCAAGTGAACAAGATCAAATAGGTTTCAGAGATATAATTGGATATGATTAACCATAATCAATACACACAATTGATTTACATTTAGTTGTATGGTTTGCCATATCTGCCAAAATATGTAATGCTAGTATACACATTTTGTCAGGTATAATACACCATGCAATTAAACGTACAGCAATTAAATTTTCCACAAAAATGTATAAAATAATATGTTTGGGAATTGATCGGCATATTATGGTTTAACCAACAATTAAATACATGATAACAAATTTGACTGATGATGATTAATAGTATGTATATACATGTGTATATCTAACAAAGGATATAGTATAAACAATATTTTTCAACTGTACAAATGAATTTACAAATAAAACACTGGGCTAGATTTAGCCACATTTTTTAAAGTTCTATGAAAGGTATCTGAACACTGTCATATCAGGATAGTAAAATTACAATTATTTGCCCTTTATTAACTGCAAATTAAATTAGTGTTAAACACTCACTCCATACAAATAAGGTTATTTCAAGACGAACATTATTTAAATATTTACTTTAATAATTTGCTTGAACGTAAGGGGTTTTACCAGTGAGAGAAAACCAAAGGGATGGACAAAAATTACTGTACATGACAATATTTAATATACAATATATATTTTAGGTTGTAGTCCAAATGCAGTTTTCACAACAATTATTAATTCACATATAGATAACTCATTTTAAATGGATGTGACCCATGTGTTTTCCATATGAATGATGGACCTTTAATATCATAAATGGTATTAAAACCAAAGAGAAAATAATGATCAAAAATAAAGACACAAATAAATTAGATGAAACAACAAAAGATAAATTAATATTAAGGAAAAAAGAATATATCTCAACAATTAAAAAACCAAACAAAATTAAATTATGTCAAAACATAATAATATTGGCTTTACTTTACAATTTCAAGCTAGATGTTTACTTAAGCAAATTAAATGGAAAGCAGGGGAAGGGGGGAAGATATTGAATTGACACAAACTAGACCATTACGGGACTAACATATTGTTCAATTTTTTATTTCATAAATTCACTTGTAAGTAGGGGTCTTTAGCAGTATGAGGAAACCGGAGAAAACCCACAAGGTTAGACAGGCGACCTTACACTTTCTCATGTACAAGCGGGGATTAAAAAACATGCCACTTGACTCAATGACTGATCTTATGATGCAACGCGCGTTGACCATTCGGCCACCCAACCCCCCTTCCCTGCAACAGAGGGGGTGGGATATTGAAATTTGATTCCCTACAACAGAGCACACTTTATAAATGACATAAATAATATTGTATCGTAAATAATTAGATTTTCCATTCTAAAAACCTTATGCTAAAACGTTTCACTAGTAAGATGATTTAGTATTTGAGATTAAGGCATGGTAACTATGAAAGACTGGTGCTCTCTATTTATTTTGGGTACAGATCTTACTTTCTTTCTATTTGTTTGTATTACAGACTTTAGTAAGTTTAGCATTAGAAGTTTAGTTTACTAAATAAATGATTATTAAATTTCTAAAAAAAAAAAAAAAAAAAAAAAATGTACTAGGAAAGCATCCAACCCCAAAATATTGAACGAAGACCACCATATACCCACTTTATGCCACAAAATTTTTCTTGCAACAACAATCAAAGTTTTTCGCATCCCAAGCATTTTCCCACATTAATTCAATTTCAGCTATTTTTTTTCAGATGCAATATCAAATTCAAGGCAGTTAAATTCTTACAATAAAATATTTTCATTTTTACAACATCCATTCAACTCTCATCCAAATTACCTCCCTTCCATACAAATATATTAACAATAACATGTCTATTATCATGGCAATGACAAAATGATTGAAAGGACTTCTTTAATATAAGACAATTGTCTCCGGTAACTATGTTTCCATATTTTCTGATGATAAAATGATTGAAAAGAAAAAAAAAATTACTTTAACTTGAATGTAAATGTTTTTATAATAATTGAGTGCATGCCTCTGCATTTCTTTGCCGAGGTCTTTGACAGCCAGAGAAATTAACCAATCAGATATCAGGATACAAATTCATATACATATATTTTACAAGCAAGTTACCATAGATATCACTAACCACGACACGTATCAATGCCACAGAGATTCAATACATTGAAAATCCACACTAACCCGAGAAAACCAACAAAGTTCTGGATCAAAACCACATGACGTGACGCAATGACAGGCCCCATGATGTATAGCACTGTCTCATTGACCTTAAAACCTTTGTCTCAAGAGAAGTTGATTAAATAGTTACTCTTTATATTTTAAAAATGACCACAAGATGTAATAAAGTGAGTAAATTGGAACATCCTATGATAAAACCATAAGATTAGCATACAATAAACAATCCACTATATATCTTTATAGTTTAAACATGGTATATAAGAGATGAGATATAACCAATTTTATAATCCACTGTGGACACAGTATGCCAAAAATGAAACTAAAATTAGTAAACAATTTATGTTTGCTTAATCTGTCAAAAGCAAAAATTTAATTGTATTAAGCTAGTCCCATTACTTATCAAAATAACATATCAAATCAGATCAACCCAATTCAATTACATTTTATTTTTACCTATATATCAAAGAAGTTTAGCTCCTTTAAAATAAACCACATCACAGACAGGTACAATTATACCATATTTATAATTTAAACATGATATTTATTAAAACAGTGAGGTGTATAACTTTACCCAACATATAACACTACATGTAGATCTTCCTTAGAAACCCAAGGCCAGTTTTTTTTTATTTTACATAATACTCTGGGTTTGTAAAGAATAAGTATTATCCGTGACAAAGAAGACAACTGTAAATCCGGAATGTCCTATTGTTGTCAAATGTCATTGAAAGTAATAAGTGTTATACAACTGGGTTCAGTTGTACAAATAATTGAATGGTACATAATTGGAATGATATACATATAAATTCAATCTGCTGCATTTTGGTTATAACTATGCATAATCTGAACAATAATATCAATGTATCTTAAATAATGGTTATAAAATTGACAATTTCAATTCAAACACGCCCCTCACTTGAAAGTGAACTGATACAGTATATTTATATTTACAATTTGTGATGTCAAATGGATGAGTTCACTTTCAAAATAGGATAGGATCTATTATTTTTGAAAAAGAGTAAATCTTTTTTCTGAAGACTAGCATTTATTCAACATTCCAATTATTTCTAACAAAACCAGTACATTACCGGGTACCCCTTAACAAATCTTACAGAATTTCTCGCTTGTCACAGGGAAATGTTACACCAGTATACATGGGTATTGACGTACTAGTTATTCTACACACAAAAAGATAAATTATTTCTACACGAGTGATGAAAGTAATATCTTGCAGCAAGTCCGTCTTTAATTATGATCTGAAATTGTGCGATATTTAACATGCTTTTATTGATTCATAATCAAAGTTGTTGACATCTCATGAGCAACGTTTCTTAAATTTGATAAATTATCTAGAATGTTTTCAACAAAGATGATATTTTTAAGCCTGAAAATAATTCTTCTGTCACTGACAATGCCACAGTTCAGAGGAGAAATCCTCGATAGGTTTCAGTGAATATATCTGGTTAATTCAGGGTGAAAAGCTCTTAGAACTGTTTTTGCTATCATTTTCATACAGCTGGCACTTCCAAATAAGGCTAAGAGTCTCTTTCTTCAAATAGTAATATTTAGCTTGAATGTTTAAACATACTTTTTTCTTCAAAGAACCATCGTAAACTACGACTTCTCTTTTAAATTCGGGTTTTGAGTACATATTCAACAGCAACAATTGTTACTTCCAGGCCTCGATATGATCGAATGTTGTGTTTAAAAAAAACAACAGTGAGCATGACATAGCCGCCTTAATAAAACATCACTATAATATTAAGACTCTTAAATTCATTAGAATCCACAAGTCTTGACTGGACTGACAATCAAATTGACCAGTTAAGATATCTGTCACCTGGTCAATAAATATAATTTGATAGAATGTCAAAAATTCGTTGAGCAAAGTACAATATTGGATAACAAATCTACATAAATACAAGATTTATAGGCTTTGAGTTGACTGAAAAAACAATTTCAGTGTTGACTTTTAAAAATCATGTCCGACTAGCAAAATTACTAATGAAGAGCCGTATTTACATTACAGTAATATTGGAATCTCAATAAATAGCCCTTAACATTAAATATCAAATCTCATATTTTATTATTAATCTAATATACAAAAGTCATTAAATAAGTAATCTCAAACGTTATATAATTTTTTTTTCAAAACAATTGATTGCTAAATCAATCTATTCACATCAAATTCCAGTATGTCAGTTGATTTGCTGATCTGAACTTTTTTAAGACCCTTCCCTCCAAACAGTCTAACTTTGTAAAATATGAGATCAACTATTTGATGAAAAGGGTTAATAAAGATAACAATAGTAAATTCAATTATATTAAAACCGTTCATATATCTGTCTCTGCAACTAAGTCTGGTGTGGCGGGTTTCCAATTCGTGATGTACTCGTAAAGTAGAAAGACGATACAAATATTAGGTGTCACGTGCCACAGATAAACACCTATTCCTTTATACAGACCAGGAAATCCCTCGTACCTAGTAAAAAGTACAAAACTAAGTGTCACCAAATAATAATAATTAGTTTGAACTTACATGTACTTGTCACATCCTACCCACCCACATAGTGAAATATTTAATTGGATTCATGCCAATTGTTGAATACCTAAACCTGAACTTAAAGATACATTCCCGGGTACAAACTGGGTGATTTGATGATATATTTGGACTAAAAACATATTCAAACTAATTAATTTATCATAATTTTGCTTCAAATCTTTCTCAAAACAATGCAATTGTCAGGGAATAGCCGGCTATAAAAAAATCGATCAAAAGAGATCATGTTTGTGTCACGTGATACAACGGGTGCGAAGTCGGAGGAGAATTGATTGCATACACAAGACGATGTTGCCTTTATTGCCGACTATTTATTACTAATATGGAAGCCTAATTAAATTCTCGGATTATCCACTGCCCGCGTCTTTTTCCGTGATTTTTATCTCAGAAAGTGTTGTACATCTAATTATTCATAAAGTTTATCAACATGTACATCAAGTGCTCAATCTCTGCGTGCAATCTTCGACGTCACGCGTGCAGACACTCCTAATCGTCGGGCTGTCGATTAGAGTAACCCGTACATCTTTGTCCTGTATGCGCTTCATGAGTGTTTTTCAGGAAATCCAGAATTTTTCTAGTAAGAATGGATATTTCTACTTTCCATATATACCAAAATTGCCATACTTTTATTGGAAATAACCACCCGATAAATATTTTTCTGGGAACGTAGCTTTAAGATTTGAATCAAAACAACTCTTTTTTAAAAAAAGCTCACTGATTTACAATGTACATAATTACTATGATTTCATCATAGTTATTTTGGTGCTTTCTGATGCAATTCTGAATAAATGTCATCTTTATCAATTTTGATTTAGAGGATATATTATCGTATTTCAGTCAAGCTACACAAAGTTCACTTTGAATTGAATCTCCCTGGGTCCCGTTTATGTGATTGTCAACCATAGCTTTCTTCAAACGTGAAAGCCTTCTTTTTCTGTGTCAAATACAATGTACATGCAGTATGCAGTTTCCCAAAAAGTTATTGTAAATTAGTCACTGGCGACAAAATCAATTGGCATGAATTCCATTTAAAATTAAATAAAGTAGGATGGACTAATCCCTTCCCAAGAAGTTATTGATTAACTTTTCAAGAGGTATTTTTATTTTTTTTAAGAATCAAACCATAAAGATATATAATGTATAGTTATTGTCATGCTTTGTGAACTATCTGAAAAAAGAAATGAAGGGGATCTTCAAGAACTTCTGCTTAAGTCGTACTGTAACCATTTTAAATATCACAATCTCTCAACAAACAAACAAATTTGAAAAAGTTCAAAATGGCTATAGATAGTATATAGTAAAGCTGTAAAACAGGAAATTAATGTCAGCAAGAAACTAATGCATTAGACATTTGGCCAGTTGCATTAATATTAATGCTTATTTTCATTCTCTAACAGGAAGTATGAAGTAGTTATCCTGTAGTATATACATGTATTAGTTCTATTGTCAGAGTCAACACCCCCTCCCCCCCCCCACCCCACCCCGAAGACAATACAAGCAACATTGGTTTATCAGATGAAAGGCTATCAATATGACAATGATGTCATTATCATTGTCCTAATATTACAAGGAGCCAAGCATTTAGGCCATACCCCTTGTAATTTACATTCTTGGGATGAAAACAACACCATTTGACTTCATGACAGACCTGATGATCTAAAGTCCTCACTAAACTTGCCACACTAAATCACAAATTCTGAAATTTAATTCCCTCAATCGCTCATAATAGACGTAAGGTGTCAATTGGGTAAACACAAGAATTTCAGTCAAAATAGCATGTGTTACTATCTGCACTATTTGAATTATTCTATCTTCCCCTACATGTATCATCAAAGATAAAACATTTGATTACTTACATCACACTTTAGGATGTTGCAATATATAATTGTTTAGACAAAAAGAAAAACAAAAAGGTCTGACTTCGTATATTTTAAAACAAAATCTTAATCATATAGAACTAACCACAATAATGCTTTATTTTGACTATAAGCTGCTATAAATCCAAAAATTAACTTGGCTAATGGAAAGCGTTTTCTTACGAAGCAGAGCATTACTTGCCTTTACAATGGGAAATAAATTTAAATTAAAAAAAAATAAAATGATAAGTGTACTTACTTGATAATATTTTTTACAACCTCTCGTACATTTTTGTGATTACGATGTTGATCTTGTAAGCGGGACCGTAAAACTTGATAAGGATACGTAGCCACTGCAGCAAACATTTTGGAACAAGCTGCGAATGTCACATACTCCAATGAGGTCTGGAAAATCATACAAAGGTTCAAATCTTAATTTTGTTTCATATATCTATACTTTCGGGAGGCACAGTGGCTCAGTGGGAAAGGAGTTTGGCCAAGACAATAACTGTCCGGGCAAATTTCCCTCGTATCATGTTAAACCCCCAATCTAATTAAAATATAGATCTATATTTCGTTTCATTTTTTATACTTTCGATGGCCTACACTACATGTAGATCTAACAAGTTATAGTGGGAGTTCACGTTCTATGACGTCAGGTACCAAGCAAGTGACATTTGACCCGATTACGTCAGTCAATCGATTACCCAATTAGCAACTGCCGTGTATTTTTTATCTACTTTTGCTTTGTTTTGATTTCTATTGCCGCTAATGTCTACCCACAGTTCCGCGCAAAAAAGGTCAAACGCTCGATTTGACAGATCATTTGATTGGCTGACCCCTCATTTCAAGCAGAACACGAGTTAAATAACAACGTTTCCAGATCCAAGTGTAGTAAAAACAAGTAAAATCAAAATTTTGAACTATAAAAACGAAACGAAATTGGATCTGTGTTTTAATCAGATTGGTTAAACCCCATTTCATTTATACTTTTCTTTGGCATCGAGTCATGTAGCTGGACCATGCTTATGTATAAGGTCAATATTATATTTCTTACCAATCGATAATCTAGAGGCAAATTACGTCTATTGTTATACCACGTCTTCATTTCTTCGTACGCCATAAACTGTAAGGCACCATGGGAAATACCAAATACACCCGGAACAAAACCCTAAATGAAGAGAGAAAGCAGAGATTAAGATTGGTTAATGTAATTGCATAAAGCGCATACAGAACAGCTTCAATGATGATAACATTTAGTTATCTACAAAGCACTTTAAAAATCTGGGCTTTTAAAATGTACAGAAATCTTGACATGGATATTATACACTTGGGCTGAATTTTAACTGATGTTTGGGGCCTACTGCATAACTACACCTCTGTTGTACATATTGTATACACAGACAAGCTTTCGTACTGATGTTTGGAGTCCACTGACAATACTCATGTTAATGCTAGTGATATATCATAACACAAGCTTCACCAGAACTCCCTTGATGGAATAACCAACATACATGTACCTTATAAAGCCCCCTAACACCCTCAGTGGAATATATCTTTATTAAAGCATCACTCATGCCCTTATAATGTTGAGATGATCTAGTAGCAGTACCGGATAATGCCGTCCCTTCATATTGTAAACATAATCTAGTCTTCGTTACCCAGATTGGATTGGTTAAAACTAAAGTTGCAAAGCCTGAAATCAAATGATTTGTTTTATAAATAGGCTTGTCACAATAAGCCAGATCTACATATAAGTGATAGAATGTGTTTACCACTATTTTGCGGGAGCTATTTAAAACTGCTAAATTTCTATGCTTTAACTAGTTTACATGTATAAATTATAAATAAACACTGTTTATAGGCTAAATGTTCATAAACAAGCATGAGAAAGAATACCATTTCTTTAGATATCATACATGTGGATGTCCAATTACATTTCATCAGACAAGAATGTCATTTTGACAGCGCCACAAATTTATTCTTTTGCTTTAGAAAGGTGGGACAAGCTCAAATACATTATGATGTGTTGCGGGCGTACAATCTAGTCACTACACTAGTGGTACATTGTAGGTAGTCCACCGAACGTTGACATGACACTGGGCTTCCGATAATGCTTTTCAATCACAAATTAAGCCACATAAGGTCAGTTTGTGTATTTACTGTCAAGTTATATGAAATAATGAACAAAAACAGGCCTCTCTGATAGATAAAATACTACATTGTTTCCACCGCCATACCGGTATATCGCTTAATTATGATTGGCTACTATTTTTGGAGTTAGATTAGATTTCATCCCTGTATTTTGAAAATGTTTTTGGTTTTATATAATGATATTCTTTTTAATTCTTTTAAACATAACTGCCAATAGTTTTGGCAAAATTCTAAAATAAAAATGTAGAAATGTGTGTCTGGGTATTCTTTACAACCGCTCTAAATTTCACGTTTCCCTTCCAGCCTCGCATGTGTTTCTTCAATAATTGCACCTGAATAAATGAACAGCAATGTGATGGTGATATCGAAAATCGACCTGAGCTTTGTGGGGAGAATTCATCCATGGTTTTTGGGACCATGTCACCTACTATTTTGAGCCCAAATACCGATGTTAATAAATTGAATAATATGCTGGCGCGATTATTCTTGTTCTCAGCACCTGTCAAATCTCAAGGTCTGAGTAATAAAACCAAGCTATATCGTTGAATATTTTCAACTTTTATGAATAAAAAGATGAAATACTAGGATAAATACAAAATTGTTATGAGTTTTGTTTAATATCATCAGCTTTTCCGTGCGAGATTTCAATCCGTTTTGAGTGACGAATTCTGCGATTTCCACGTATAACTGTACTGATCAGTGACATGTTACAAATCAATGACCAATATATAACAGCACACTTTGTAGGCTGTGATGCTCACCTTCAAATAAAATCTTAGAAGAGTGTACTTTGCTCTTCCCAGCAAAAGGGTGTAGGCTATACACTGTACAGATTAATTTCACACGACAACGTTTTCCTTTGCTTGAGAGTTAATATTCCCTCAAATTAATTAAATCGTTAAGACTTACCAGCTTCTGTGCCAGCTAATATATGTCTAGCTGGTCCAACATTTTTTTTACTGTCACCATCTTGCATCCATGATTTAATCCTGTTGTAACTAACAAAATAAACAAGTACATGTACATGGCTATCATTAACTAACAAATACTGTAATGTACATCATTTATTCATTAGGCCAAAAAATAACCCTGCTGTGTTTTGGACACATTGTAGCTTGTTTAATAAATATTGTGGAATACCCCACAGCAAACCATTGCAATAATCCAGTCTGAAAAGGACCAAGGCACGAACTAATGTATGAGCAGCTTCATGACTTATCAGTCTACCGGTACTCTCAATAATTTACCATTATTCACATTTCCGCTTTATTAGAAAATCAATGATTCCTTAGAAAAATAAAAATCAAAGTATAAACGATCCGACAAAATGCATAGAAACTGAACAGAAGCAGGTATAATTCTAACAGTACCATTCTGGTGGAAAAGTGAGCGAGTAGTCATCACATGATGTAAACAAAACTCAAAAACGGTGTTTGCAAATTTTGTGGAATGAACACTCTACATGTAACTCTAAGAGTTTACAATTCATCATAAAAATATTGTAAATAACATAAAAATGTGGGTATTTTTCTTAATATTTATGCTAAATATTCAGATAAATCAAACCTGCGATATATCACGATATATTCAGTTTTTCAATATTTATCTGAAGACAGTATTTATGACAGTTTTTATTTCTGTGACAGTTTTATATATTGAAAAACCAAAATATCGCGCAGCTCTATGTAACAGTTCAGAAAATTTATTATGATATTTGTTGCACCACAGAAAGACTTGGTGATACACAATGTACATTTTTAATTTATTAGTATTACATACGTCAGTTCAAATTCCATTCATTAATTTTTGACAATTTATTTCTCCATCATGCGCAGTTCTTTTAACATTTCAGATACAGACCAGTTGAAATCGGGTTGATTTAAAAAAAAAAAGCCATCCTAATACTTTATAAGATTAGTACTGCCATAAATATTTGAAAGCATACCCTTGGACTTATAAATAACTTTTGTTATTAAAGCGTTTACGAGGTGCAACAATGTGAAACAAGGGCCATAACTCCTGAAGAAATTAACAGAAATTATTGAAATCAAATTAGGATTCTTCATCTCACTAATGTAAACAACATATACATGTATCAATTTCAAAACAATCAGATGATAAATGTAATCTGTAGACTGTTCACAAGAAATTGAAGACAACGGACGGATGGGGGCAGACTGAGACGGCAATATACAACCACATTTCCAAGTGGGGGATAAAGATAGAGAAGACATGAATATACAACTACAAGTACCGTGGTTAGGATAATAAACAATCAATGTTAACATCTTGTCCAAACTAAACAGTGATAACTCGGCTCAGAATCAAGTAATTTGAATGAAATTTTCAACATATTCATTTTGCATTACCTATTTTTCAATGATTATATCTATAGTAGTAAGAAATGCCAGCTCTTTATCTAAATCTTACATAATGTATCTTTAATTTTTTAAGGGACCTTTAATAAAAGGATCCAAAAACTTTATTGTTCAGTTTGTGCATTTCTATTCAAGTAATAAAACCAGCGGCTGCCAGGCAGGATAAGCCCACATTTTCGAAAGATGGATAGAGAACAAGCTAACAAGAAAGTGATTTTTCCTACTATCAAGGGCCATAATTCAGGAAATTACAATTCGATATGCGCGAATATCGAAAGGAACTGAGATCTTTGTGTTATAAACTTACATTTCAAGTTTCAACAAAATCGGATAAAAATTGTGACGTCTATAGGGTCCACAACCTTGATATCCCGTATTTTTACGCTATTTGAGAACGAACGGCGGCCATTTTGTCTGTCAATTTTAGGTTGATTTTCACAAAATTCGAATTCAGTCGTCCTTAGGGTGTAACAGTGATATAATAATACAGTTTTTTAAATTGGATAACAATTATGACCTCTATAGGGTCCACAAGCTAAAAACGCGATTTTTCGTACAATCAGGGGCCATAATTTAGGAAGTTACGGTCCGATATGCGCGAATATCGAAAGGAACTGAGATCTTTGGGTTATAAACTTACATTTCAAGTTTCAACAAAATCGGATCAAAATTGTGACCTCTATAGGGTCCACAACCTTGATATACCATTTTTTTTTAAGCTATTTGAAAACGAATGGCGGCCATGTTGTCTGTCAATTTTGGACCGATTTTCACAAAATTCGAACTCAGCCTTCCTTAGGGTGTTATGGTGATATAATAATACGCTTTTTTAAATCGGATAAAAATTATGACCTCTATAGGGTCCACAAGCTAAAAACGCGATTTTTCGTACAATCAGGGGCCATAATTCAAGAAGTTACGGTCCGATATGCGCGAATATCGAAAGGAACCGAGATCTTTGGGTTATAAACTTACATTTCAAGTTTCAACAAAATCGGATAAAAATTGTGACCTCTATAGGGTCCACAACCTTGATATACCATTTTTTTTAAGCTATTTGAAAACGAACGGCGGCCATTTTGTCTGTCAATTTTGGGCCGATTTTCACAAAATTCGAACTCAGCCTTCCTTAGGGTGTTACGGTGATATAATAATACGTTTTTTTAAATCGGATAAAAATTATGACCTCTATAGGGTCCACAAGCTAAAAATGCGATTTTTCGTACAATCAGGGGCCATAATTCAAGAAGTTACGGTCCGATATGCGCGAATATCGAAAGGAACCGAGATCTTTGGGTTATAAACTTACATTTCAAGTTTCAACAAAATCAGATAAGTTTCGATCCGATACATGCCAATATCGAAAGCAGCCGAGACCTTTTGGGGATAAACCTATATTTCAAGTTTCGTCAAAATCGGATAAGAATTGTGACCTGTAGAGAGTCCACAAACAATTGTGGACGGACGTCCGGATGGACAGGGGCGACAGCATAATACGCCCACATGAAAATGTGGGTGTATAAAAAGTAAAAATAAATTAAAACTTACAAGAAAAAATAAAACCCCCATGAGATTCCAGCTCCCCAGACATTAGGTGTGACTCCTTGATATAATCCAACGACCCCATCAGATTTGGCTATAGATTTTAATGCATGGAATATTCCTTTATACTGAGGTCTTTTACCAATTACATCATACCCTTCATTTACTGAAATATACAATGGTACAATATATTTTAAAAGATAGGTTGTCAGGCATCAAAACATACATCCACAGCAGCAGCTAAGATGTCTGGGGAGTCAACAAGGGTTGTCGCATATTTTTTTCCTTTTATCAGTAACGAAAAGATTTACAACACACTAAAACCTGATTATGAGTAATACCACATGAATAATTATCAGAAATCATTAGAATTTGTCAAGATTGTTTGTTTCATGACCTACACTGTGTATAAACTTGTACTGTATTAACTTTAGCCTCTAGGGCTTCCACTAGACTGTATAAACTTATACTGTATTAACTTTAGCCTCTAGGGCTTCCACTAGACTGGATAACCTGCTCTAATATGTCAGACTCGCTCCTACATCACTTCTTTTCTGACTTGCATAATTATAAAGACAGGTAGTGGGCAGCCATGTTTTGACGTAGTGTTGCTAAAAATAGACGGGTATCCCTAATGATGGCGCTCAGCGTTAAAATGAGTAAGCTAGAAGATTTGTTAAGCTTTTCTTTAATGTCTAAGATTGCTCTAGCCAAATTAAAAGTTGATCGTGCGACATCTTATTGTTATCTTAAACCCAAACAAAGCGACAGTTTAAAATCAGCTCTTATATTATAATCAGTTACAATCGCAGGCCTACTGGCTATGGCAAATTGCTCATATTTCATTTGATTTTTTGCCATATTTCTCAAATTCCAAAATATTAATTATTGTTCTGTTAAATTCCATTTTTGAGAAAAAATTGCATAGTTTCGACTCTAATCCACAAGCTAAACATAAACTACCACTGCATTTAATTGGTGTTGACATCTTTATTGCATACTTCAGCGCCCGATCATGTTTTTGTTTACATTGGTAATGTGCGCAGAAAGAGATGCGTACTGCCGGGAGGAATTCCTCCTGGCAAGATGGCTGCACGCTACCTGTCTTTATATTGAAGTCAGAATAGCGCAGTGACGTATGAACAAGCCTGATGTCATTTAGAGCAGGTTGTCCAGTCTAGGGCTTTCACAAGATTTTTCAAGTGACCAAGGGCCATAACTCTGGCAGTAATTATCAGAAATTGTTGAAAATCAATAGAATTCTTCATCTCACTGCAAAATGTTTTAAAAGTCTATTCAATATCAACTTTACCCTCTAGAATGACCACAAGCTCTTTCAAGGTGATCAAGGGCCATAACTCTGGCAGTAAATATTGAAAATTGTTGAAAATCATTAGCCCAGTCGGAGCAGAATAGTAGGCTGTTAAACCCCATTACAATTCAATTCGTCTCTTAACCTTAAAGATGCATTATGGGAGATTAGATAAAGAGCTGGCAGTTCTCACTATAATAGTTAAAAACTAGATAATGTAAATGGAATTTGCTGAAAATTTCAGCCAAATTGATCCACTCTGAGTCTGAATCAAGATTTTAGCGATTGAATTTTCAATCTAGCCTCGATCGTCATTACTAAAGTCGGTACGATAAAAAACATAGTCTCGATTATCCATAAATTTATTATTAAATCATGAACGGAAGTCGAACAGCAAATCGGAACCTAATCCAATAAACATCGCAGGCTAGCGGTGACACCGAGAGTTGATTATGGCCTGGATAAGTTAAGTAATGGCGTCCATGTCAGGTAATTAATTGTACATGTATTGGGTTCTGGAAAGTGAATAAATGACAATTATCAATGGTTGTTTTAATGAAAAGTGATTTAGTTATTCATTAATTTTTTGCTCCTGTCAGATAGAACTATTTATTACTAAATCACTGTCCTATCCATGAAACGGCTGGGTAATGGTATCAATTTCTAGGCCTACTTATGGCAAAAAACACCCTCAACTTCTTGTGATAATTAAATATATGTAGACATTGAAACTTCAGAGCCTATTATTAATAATTATATTTTTAGTATCTATAATCTAATCCATGTAGTAAAGTATTAATATCAATGTCAAATGATTGTTCAAAGGGGTTAAATCCAAACGTTTATTACATAATCCAAAACAACCATCAAATGCCTCATTATTAGACCTATTTATAAGTGGCATAAGCCATAAGCAGGATTTAGTGCTTCTCGGTCAACCTGTCCTAATGTAAATACTAGTAAAATAGGCCTATGGAAAATTACACGAGTTGATGATGCAATATTGAGATAATATGAATAATCCGATTAATTAATGAACCAATTGAATATTTCTACACACAAAAAATAATTAAATCTTTAACAAATAATCCTATACCCACCTTGGAATCGTATTTTAACTAAATCTAGAGGATGTAAGACTAACGTTGATATCACCCCACCACTCATGCCAGCTATCAGATGTTCAGCGCCTTTAACTTGCCGTAATGTTGAGTACAAACTGCCCCATTTTGGGCCGTTACCAGTTCCCTCTGCCATCTTTGGTTATAATATACCGGTTCTTATGTACAAGATTGACTACAAGAATAAAATGTTTTAAAAAACTATCATCATAAATTGTCCATATTTTCTAAAATATTTGTCCCGTATAGAACATGCCCTGGCAAGGTCGTAGCCATTTTACCAAGAATAGTCTAAATCAAGCGATAAGTGCATTTCGAGGCTTAAGGCAGGAAACTCCACACTGATCCGCAGTGAATATTTGCTAGGCCGCTACAATCACTGATACGGATGACATCGATGCGGCTTAATGAGCCAGAAATATTAACTTTTTTCCTGCGACAAATTAAATTCTAAAACATTTTTTTATGTATTGGAAAAATAAATAAAGGCGTTTGACGTATTTGTAGGTAAAAATTATTTCCTATTTAGTGTAAATGGGTATTAAAATGACTAAAATGCAGCATTTTCTCCGAAGCAGTAACGTCTTATGTAAAGAATGCACGCGCCATTCAACCAATGATTGACGCCGCGTGCTGTGACAGCACGTGTTAAGACAGTCATCTTTGACAGAGATATATTACTAGACTCGTAATTCTCTGTGAAACATATTACTAGACTCGTAATTCTCTGTGAAACAGATTGAGGGAACTCTCTTTAAAAAAATGTGTGTTCTATTATTAATGGAATCTAGCATCTTAAAAGGATGTTAGACATGTGGACTTAAAAGGATGTTAGACATGTGGATGAATCCAATTAAAATTATATGTGAAAAAATGATGCTCTACTTTATCGGGTGGTTTATAATCATTATCGATTATCCAGCCGGCAAAATAACTGCGTCATTCTCGTCAGCTGATTTGTAGAAAATCCCGTTGACAGAGGTTAGGCCAACTTCAAGTTTCGTCAAAGGTCACGAGATCTAAACATGGCTAACGCTAATCCCAACCCTAACCCTGGACCTAGCCCCAATGCTTATACTAAGCTTATTTGCATCTCGGCGACCTTGACGAAAATTGAGCTGGCCTTAACAAATAGATTCAGCGGTTGACAGGCGCTCAGGACACTCGCAATCTAGTGGTGCGTCTCGCATACGAGGCAGAGTATGCTTATTCTTTTCGAAAAGAGTTATTTTTGTCTAACTTTTCTAGATATTATTTATCCAGTGCAAGATTACGTTTCTAGTGTAAGGAAAGATTTGTAATATAAGAATCTTCAATGAAAAAAATGGAATTAAACAGTTAGAAGGTTGAATGGATCCATGTGATTTAAAGCGTCGACACATGGATCCAAAATTTTCACAGTCTACAACAGAATACAATAATAATAAATAATAATAATAATAGCTTTATTTCCAATCAAGGGTCCACAGGGGACATGGTACAGAGCAAACAAAGAGAGAAAACCCAAATGACAGTCAAGTAAGAAAATATAATAGTATACATAGCTCCCAACAGGGGAGATACACATATAAGTACCTTATGCACTAAGGCTTCATGCCGAAAAAAAAAACGGCTCATGAGAACATTATTATTAATCATGAAAGGGAGATAAATCCACTTAACTCTTAATGTTACAGATCAATATTAAGCATTACAGAACAGCTGTATTCATCCGCAAAAAAAAATAGTACCTAAAATTCATGTACATTATATAGGTTTAAACGTCAAATGAGGTCAAATGAATAGAGACGTCTTTAATATATACTAAATATTCGTATCATCCCAAATCGACAATAAAACAGCGAGAAAAAGGAAAATCTAAGTAATGGCAATCTAATTAACATAAAATTTACGACATAATGGATTCTTCAATGTTTTGATGGTGATCATGAAGAAAATAGGCCTACATCTGTTCTCAGGAATCCGATAAGATTTTCAAAAAAAGGATCAGTAGAATTATAGATTGTTATTCCACAAAGTCGAAAGGTATGTTAGATTTTTCATTCAGTAAAGTTAGAGCGAGTTTATTGCCGTACTTTGAGCTCCAAACCCGATAGAAATGAAGGCGGAAGTGGCCATAATAGTTTTAGAGATCACTACGTGATGGCGCTCCTGCGTCGCGACAAACGGGGCCGATTTGTCAAGTATGGCTCTATTTTTGGGAACCTTGAAATAAACGAAAATGGTTCTCAAACTAAAGCACATAATATTAATGTAATGATTGTATGTAAAGTGATTTATATTCAATTTTTGAGAAAAAAAATTGTAATTTTAAATCAATTGTGTTCGGTGAAATACGTGGGCAGTTCAAATTGAACGGCAGTGGTTTACGCTTGCTTAATCCCCTACACGACTTTTTTTTATTATGATTTTGTCGTTTACTAATTACTTCCAAACTGTCTTGTGGGTTATGTTTTATAGTTGTACATTACAAAATGGCACCCCAAACCATAGAATACACGACTCGCGTATTGATTATAAAGTGTTAATTGTGTCTTAAATATTAGATATTAGGATCCTATATTTGCACGGCAAGGTAACAGTATTGATTGAAATCGACCAATACTGAATTCTGTGTTTTTAATTTGGAATATTATGGAAAATATTGAGTTCGAGATATAAATATGATTTATAGTTCAAGTATATCCGATAATTCAAAAAAGATATCATTTCACAGTCTCACACAACAACTTTTGGTCTTCGAAGGAATTATGTGAGCAGAAATTCGCCCATGTATCTGTTATCACCCGTCACTTCAGTCAGTTATATAGAGGGATAACTCGTGTTTTCCTTTTGCGTTCGTCACTTCCGATTGTTCAAGCATTGATTACGCATCTATCGTAGCAGTGATCTCTGTGATAAAAAAAATATTTGGAACGTGTTTAACCAGTTCTATCACATATGTGATAATGACTGGCGCCAAAATTGTTCTTTAATATACGGTCCGTGGGCATACGTTTCAACCTTGAGAAATATTTTATTTTTAAAAATCTAAATAAAGTGTCACTTACCGGGATATAGTTATGTTTAAAATAAAAATGCCATCGATATATCAAAAATAAACAAAAACACATCCTATTTATTTCACATATTATGTAAAACTAAATCCACCACAAATTATGTCATTGAGGTGTAAACATAACGTGCGTTGCATCATAACCATGGTTTATTTTGGATAAATCAGCTGTTACGTAGATAATGTATACATGTAGTTCTATTTATAGCGTGGTCATTGCTGGTTGAAACCAGTACACGGAATAATCTAGTTAACTAAAACATATATAAACCAAACAGTTAATAAATGGAGTTTCTAGGTGGATACACGCATAAACACAGATAAACTGATCTAAATTTATATAAATGATAAAACTATCTCTGCTTAACACAATTCAGACATATTTGTGTGCCCACTACGATGGCCTTTTAGAACCATACGTTGATTTATACCCTTTTCTTGTAATTTACCCCATATGAGAAATCGCAGTGAAAACTATGATTAAAATAAAAAAAACCAGGAAAAACATTTTCTCCGCGGTGTAAATATTTTCTCCGCGGTGTAAATGTTTTCTCCGCGGGGTAAACCTTTTCTCCGCGGGGTAAACCTTTTCTCCGCGGTATAAAGTTTTCTCCGCGGTGTAAACCTTTTTTCCGCAGTGTAAACCTTTTCTCCGCGGTATAAAGTTTTCTCATGTGAGAAATCACAGTATGATAAACAAGAGCATCGCTAACGCAGCAATATACGTCCACATTCCTGTTTTGTTTGATATGGTCCAGTTTGCATTGAGGGTCTGTGAAATAAAACTGGGTTGTAGGACTGCTATCAGTTTAACACTTCGTTCACATTAACAGAACACAATTTTTATTTTAAAACAATCGATGTCTTTATTCTAAAAGCATGACGTTTCGAATAGGTATGCAAAGTTTCAAAAGGATCTGTTAAGAATTGCGGTCTGTAGGCAAAACACAGGACACACAAACGTTAGGCGTGGCTCTGTCCCAAGGGGTCGAGCATGCACCAAAAATAATAATAGAGGTCGGCCTTAGGATTAAGGAATAAGTATAAAAAGTAGCCTTAGGCTATAAGGAATAAGTATAAAAAAGTTTTCAAGATGATCGATTAAGAAATGCGGTCTGCAAGTGACACACAGACATAAAAAAAGAAAATGGGCGTAGCTCTGCCCCTGGGTGTTGGGTATTCACCACTAATAATAGGGATGTTCCTTAGGATAGAAGGAATATGTATGCTAGGTTTCAAGGTGATACGATAAGAAATGCGATCTGTAGATGACAAACAAATAAATAAATATAAGGGATGGGCGTGGCTCTGCCCCTGGCGGTCGGGCATGCACCAAAAACAATAGGGATCATCGTTAGGGTATAAGCAATTCATATGAAATTTTTTCAAGACGATTGATTAAGAATTGTGGCCTGTAGGTGACACACAGACATAAAAAGAAAAGAAAATGGGCGTGGCTCTGCCCCTGGGGGTAAAAAAACAATAGGGATGATCGTTAGGGTATAAGCAATTCATATGAAAAAATTTCAAGACGATTGATTAAGAATTGTGGCCTGTAGGCGACACACAGACATAAAAAAGAAAATGGGCGTGGCTTTGCCCCTGGGGGTTGGGCATGCACCCAAAACGATAGGGATGTTCCTTAGGGTACAAAGAATAAGTATGCAAAGTTTCAAGATGATACGTTAAGAAATGTGGCCTGTAGACGACAAACAAACAAATACAAAAAATGGGCGTGGCTCTGCCCCGGGGAGGCTTGCATGCACCAAAAACAATAGGGATCATCCTTAGGGTATAAGGAATAAGTATGTAAAGTTGATACGTTAAGAAATGCGGTCTGTAGATGACAAACAAATAAATAAATATAAGGAATGGGCGTGGTTCTGCCTCTGGGGGTCGGGCATGCACCAAAAACAATAGGGATCATACTTAGGGTATAAGCAATTCATATGAAAATTTTTCAAGACGATTGATTAAGAATTGTGGCCTATAGGCGACACACAGACATAAAAAGAAAAGAAAATGGACGTGGGTCTGCCCCTGGGGTCGGGCATGCACCCCAAACGATAGGGATGTTCCTTGGGGTACAAAGAATAAGTATACATAGTTTCAAGATGATACGTTAAGAAATGCGGTCTGTAGATGACAAACAAATAAATAAATATAAGGAATTGGCGTGGCTCTGCCCCTGGGGGTCGGGCATGCACCAAAAACAATAGGGATCTTCCTTGGGGTATAAGGAATAAGTATACCAAGTTTGAAGAAAATCCAGTAAGAATTGCGCCCTGTAGGCGACACAAAGACACACGAAAAGAAAATGGGCGTGGCTCTGCCCCTGGGGGTTGGGCATGCACCCCAAACGATAGGGATGTTCCTTAGGGTACAAAGAATGTGTATGCAAAGTTTCAAGATTATTAGTTAAGAAATGTGGCCTGTAGACGACAAACAAACAAATACTAGAAATGGGCGTGGCTCTGCCCCGGGGGGTCGGGCATGCACCAAAAACAATAGGGATCTTCCTTGGGGTATAAGGAATAAGTATACCAAGTTTGAAGAAAATCCATGAAGAATTGCGCCCTGTAGGCGAACCACAGACACACACACACACACACACACACACACACACACACATACATACATTCACACACACACACACACAGACAGGGGCGACGGCATAACCCATGAAAAACCTTTTCTCCGCGGTGTAAACCTTTTCTCCGCAGTATAAAGTTTTCTCCGCGGAGAAAACTTTACACCGCGGGGAAAACTTGGTTTTATGGGCACCTCGCCAATCATGTCATTATGTGAGGCGCCCCCAACACCACAACTTGATTGATGGGGCGCCCAAAGCGGTGTGATCTGTGGGGTGCCTTATCCCGGAGGGGCGCCCATGATGACATGATGGGTGGGGCACTTATAATTGCAATATATGATTGCCGGGCCGCACATAATGCATAATGACCTGAGATTGGTGGGGCGCCCAAAACGGCATGGTTGGTGGGGTGCCTCATCCCGGAGAGGCGCGTGTAATACCGAGATTGGTGGGCCGCCCACGATGAAATCTACCATAAGAAAGCCAACTGGAGATTGTTGGAAATGTTTCAGATCAAATTCACGATGGGGATGAGATTGATTCGAGCCCGCGCCAGGCGTAATAATCTTTAAAATTTAAACAAGTCTCGCTCTGAATTATTATAGGTACGCTAAAGTCTAATCCTTACTTCAAATTTTGAAAAATATTATAATGCGCCAATATGAAAATTCAGCCTCAAAATAGAAATTGTCCGTCATTGTTATAGTTCTTCTCATCCAATGCAAACCCTTTTTTCCAAAATTTTCTTTGGGGGATGGGGGGGGGGGGGGTGTTACCCTAGACCCTTCTCCGGGGAGTCGCGTCCACGGTGACGTTCGACATGGATCGTCAAATTCACAGAAGTCCTTGCCCCACCCCCACCCGCAACCGACTATCAAAGTATCCTCGTTGTAAGGACGAATAGATATTCGGAAATAAAACCCCGTTCCCAGTACAGTCAGGGGCAATGATCCAACAAGAAGTTGTGGTCCTATGCGCGCCAATATAGAAATGAACCGATATCCTTTGATATAAGCATAATATCTTTTAGGTTACATTAAAGATGGGTTCCCAGAAAACTATTTATTGGGTGGTTATTTCCAATAAAAGTATGGCAATTTTGGTATATATGAAAAGTAGAGATATCCAATCATACTAGAAAAATACTGGATTCCCCAAAAAACACTCATGGAGCGTATACAGGACAAACATGTAAGGGTTCCCCTAATCAACAGCCCGACGATTAGGAACTTCTGCACGCGTGATGTCAAAGGTCACAAGCGAACATTGAGCGCTTAATGTACAAGTTGATAAACTTTATGAAGAGTTAGACGTACAATACTTTCTGAGATAAGCATGACGGAAAAAGACGCGGGTAGTGGATAATCCGAGAATTTAATTAGGATTCGATATTTGTAATAAATAGTAAGCGATTAAAGACAACATCCTCTTATGTATGCAATGAATTCTCCTCTGACTGCCAAGACGTGACGTAAACATGACCTGGTTTGATCGAATTTTAATAGCAACGTCTACTCGAATTTTTTACGGATGGGACAAAAACAAAAAATAATCTCAGGTTGCCAATATCTCCGTTATTTCTCAACGGATCTTCTACGGGTTTTCATTTTTGGATTCTTTGAACGAATCCCATATGGGCATCAAAGATTTGCGAAAAATTTTTTCAACATTTTTTGTCGACATTCAATATATATATTTATTAGTATTATTATTATCTCACAAACGTTCGATTTGGCTGCCAAAATCCAAAATGGCGAACGAACTTGGCTCGAAAAGTATTCTTTTAATACCTATAGGAACATACTCGTGTCGGGTGACCAACAAAACCTATAAAATGATACTTTGCACGGGCCATTTCGGCAACAATTAATCTAGGGGGTTGTGTAGCGACTACAGGGGAACGATAAAATAAATAATCGAGACTTTAGTATCGTTGCAACGATAATAAAAATCTACGCTACATTTTGTCAAAAACTTCAAACATATAACTTCGCACAGAATAAAGGAATTTGACTGACATTTTTAATGTAGGCCTATTATTCTTCGTTATTTTTTTATTTATTTTTTTTAACTATTATAGCAAGAACAGTCAGCTCTTTATCTAATCCTTACACAGAGTTAACATTTTGTCGTGAATTCCACCCCATACATGTTATATATGTTCATTACATTTTCACTGTGTAGATGATCACCCCAAATGTTACTGTATAACTGTGTGATTAAAGTATGTTTAAACTGTAAATTTTGTATGCTGCCCATAGTATGATACAGGTGGTGATACAATAAAAGCTTATCTTATGCCTTATATATGGATAATTGTTATCAAGTTATAGGACATTAAACCGAATTTCATTCATGCTATAATGTAATACAATACATGTATGTTTAAAGATAAAGTGTTTGAAAAAGCAGGTTAATATATTCACATAACATTCAAATTGGATCACCGATACGTTCGTTGTACCTCGATATGTTCTATTATTCAGCATGAACTTAAGGATTAAAGGGCCACCGCTATCTTCTGGGAATTTGTTCGATTTAATATGGCTATTATTAGTAAAGTCGAATAAAGAGCTGTAGAGAAAAAATATTTTTGTTGAAAGTTGACATAAAATTCGTCAAGTCCTAATCTGATTAAAATTACAATTAGACACTTAATTCTCTTTTACATCTTTGAGTTCGTGGACATATAACTGAAGCAAAATATATTTAATGCACAATACAAATGCATGCATAATATGGGTAGATAAAGGGTCAATTTGTTGTTTTTGTTTTCAATCTTTATTTTGGGTTTTTCCCGGTCAAATATCCTCATTTATTTTATGATCAGTAGTGGAATACCACGTTTTATCAGTGAAATAAAAGTGTTATTTCACTGGCTAAAGTAGTCCATGTTGTTTTTACCTAAAATGATTGTAAAATCATAAAATAAATAGAACATTTGTCGTTTTGTCGTGAATAACATATTTTATTTCATCTCTAAGCAAGAAAACGTTTATATTTTCACTCATGCTACGCATTCGTGAAAATATAAACGTTTTCTTGCTTCTCGATGAAATAAAATATGTTATTCACTCTAAAACGACAAATATCCTCTATTTATTTTTGTTAAATTTGGTTTATATGCTTTTTTTTTGTCTCGGCAACTAGGTCAAAATTGCTTAATAATTGTCTATTTCTGTTAAGGTAAATTCCACAAGTATTCCAAATTGAATGGGCCGTATCTCAGGGACCGTTAGATCGATCAAGCTAAAATTTGAAATATCAGAGTCTTCAGTCAAAAATAAGCACATCAGCCATAATATTTCAGAGGTATAGTTTACATCATTGGGTGATTTGACAAGGAATGACCCATCTTTTTATAATTTGGTTCTATTTTACAAACAAGGATCAAGTAGGATCGCCTGTCTAACCCTATGGGGTTTCTCCATAATCTCCACACAAGCGAATTAATGAATAACGATTATGTTAGTCTGGAAATTACCTTGTTAATGTTTGTAGCCCAGGGTCCAACAAAATCGTAATCCGCATCCTAATTCATGACATTGCTATCCTAGTATTTTTAATAACTCATGACTTTTCTAAATACAAATTTCACCGTTCACTACTTCTTTATAATGGCTGACACCATTTCATTTGGGTTGTTTACCACAATTCTACAATAACAAAAACTAAGGCACGCAAGACGAGGTGAACGGGTTATATATCAGTTCAGCAACAAAAACATTTCAAGCTTTCTTATATGAAATACTTTCAAATAATATCCTTTGATAATCCGTCAATAACGTCGTTAAATGTCAACATACACACTGTATATATTATTTTGGAAACCAACTAATTAAATAAGTAGAGTTTTCAAACGTTTATTTGAGAACATGTGGAAGTTTATGGGAAACACCATATAATTATAATATATTTTTTGACAATGCAATGGTTGGACATTATTTGATTTATATGGATTGATACAACCAATTTAAGTCATTACCTCGTCATATTTTAAGTGAATTCTCCTCTACCGGGTAATTATATTTATTTTATTCTATATTAAAGATACATTATGGGAAATTAGATAAAGAGCTGGCAGTTCTCGCTATAATAGTTAAAAACTTGATCATGTAAAGGGAATTTACTAATAATTTCAGTCAAATTATTCAGTCTCGATTATTCATTTCATGATTTAAATCATGAATGGAAGTCGAACAGCAAATCGGAACCTAATCCAATAAACATCGCAGGCTAGCGATGACATCGAGCGTTGCTTATCGTCTGGATAAGTTATTTAATGTCTAATTAATTTCAGGCCTAAAGAAAGACCTGCAATAGGCAGATTTAGCTCTTGCATAATGTATGTTTAATGATTGTTAAATACCAATAAGATTGGTGGTAACACCATTACCACTATATATACATTATAAGCTATGTGATATGTATATATCTATGCTTGTAATAGTTAATACATTAGGCCAAAAAAGTCTGTGTTAACTAAATGAAATGAAATGGGGTTTAATACTTTAATCTTTAACGTCCTACTGTTAACTGTTCCCACTGGGTTAATGAAGACAGGCATATGCCATGCAGTGTGCTACGAGGGAAAATTTGCCCGGATAGTGGCCGTACGGCCTCCTCAATTATATCAAATTCCAACTGCCAATGCATCTTATACGTGCACGCCAATGTGTACACGGGACCTCGTTTTTTGTCCAATCTGAACTAGACAGCTGCCCTTATCAGGCCCTCCGTCCTGCACCACTGACAATTGGAAACCAGGCCGGAAATCCTGATGAACTTCCTCGGCCAACACAGGGAGCGAACCGACGACTACCATGCTAGGGGGCCAGCTTCTTACTCACTTAGCCACCGTGGCTCCGGCCCTATGTTAATGGTTACTAGACCATAAATACTAGGGTATATAGCCTTTGTGGTGTCATTTTAAATCTATAGCCTTTTAAATTATTTATTTCCTAGCATTTCTTACTGCGTAAGAACCTGTAAAATAATGAGGATTAGGACTGTTATATTACCTGGGAAATGAGAAAACCACCGGTTGCCAGGCAAGATACGCCCACATTTCGCAAGAGATGGACAGAGAACAAGTTTTTAAAAAAATGTTTTTGTGCAATAAGGGTCATAATCCAGGAAGTTACGGCCCGATATACACGAATATCAACAGGAACCAAGATCTTTAGGATATTAACAAATATTTTAAGTTTCATCAAAATTGGATAAAAATTGTGACTTCTAGGTAGGGTCCACAACCTTGGTATGCATACTTTTACACTATTTGCATACAACTCAACCATCATTAGGGTGTAACAGTTAAATGTTTTTTGTTAAATCGGATAGAATTTGTGAACTCTAGAGGTTCCACAAGTTAAAAAACGTGATTTTTCGTACAATATGGGGCTATAGTGAGTTATGCACAAATATCGACAGGAATCGAGATCTTTGGGTGATAAACATACATTTCAAGCTTTCATCAAAATTGGATAAAAACTGTGACTTCAAGAGGGTCCACAACCTTGGTATTACATACTTTAAGACTATTTGCGTACAAGGAGCAGCCAATTAGTCCGGCAGTTTCAGTCACATATTTACGAAATTCAAACTAAACCTTCATTGGGGTGAAATGGTGATATATTTAAACGGTTTTTAAAATTGAATATAAATTGAATATAAAAGGGTCCACAGGCTAAAAACATGATTTTTCGAACAATCAGTGGCCGCAATCCAGGAAATTAATTATATTCCGATATGCGCGATTATTGAAAGATACCAAAATCTTTGTGATATAAATATAAATTTAAATTTCATAAAATCGGATCAAAATTATGACCTTTAGCGGGTCCACAACCTTGATATACTTTTATACAAATTGTGTACGAGGAGCCGTCATTTTGGCCGGCAGTTTCGGTTTGATATTCACGAATTTTTGGTGTAATGGTGATAGATACGACAGGTTTTTAAATGTGTTAAAAATTGTGACAATCAGGGGCCATAATCCAGGAAGTAACGTCCAGATATGTACGAATATCGAAAGGAACTAAGATCTTTGGGTTTTAGAGAGAGAGAGAGAGAGAGATGGGGTGTAACGTCCATTCGACGCAAAGTAGGTCATTTCCGGACTAACACGTGGTTCAATTTTTTTATTTCAATAATTTGCTTGCGCTTAGGGGTCTTTAGCAGTGGGAGAAAACCGGAGGACCCAGAGAAAACCCACGAGGTTGGACAGGCGACCCTACTCCTTGTCACGTACAACAGGGGAATCGAAAACCCGCCAGTTGACTCAATGACAGACTGTATGATACAGCTCAGCGTGCACATGCTAACCATTCCGCCATCCACCCCCCCCCTCCTTTGGTTTTTAAACATTCATTTCAGGTTTCATCAAAATAAGATGAAAATTGTGACCTCTAAAGTGTCCACAAGCTAAAAACGTGATTTTTTGTACAATCAGGGGCCATAATCCATGAATTTACCGTCCGATACATGCCAATTTCGACGGAAATTGAGATCTTTGGGAGACAAACCTACATTTCAAGTTTCACCAAAACTGGATAAAAATTGTGACCTGTGGAGTGTCCATAAACATATTGTAGACGTCCAGACAGACAAGGGCGACGTTAATATGCGTCCACATTAAATTGTGGGCGTATAGAAAGGGTTCAGGGTTGTTGTCGATTTGTTGCTAAAAATAATTCTGATATTGTTGCTGTGATATTTGTTATAGAAAACTGATAATCATTATATTATTACTAATAATGTTAAACAATTCCTAGGACAAAATTCAATGACATTTTTAACCTAAATAGTAACTTCAGTCACACCACTTTCCTGTCTACCCTATATATTCCACGTGGAAATAAATAAATTTACTTCCTAAAAAGATATTTTTATTGCACAAAAGAATATAAAACAACTTTATTTTTCAGGTATATATATATATATATTAAAAGCCTGATGATCTGATAGTGAAAGCACTAGCTTTAAGAATGTAATCTATATATATACACAGAAACAATGAGATTACCTCACAGACCACAGAGTGTTTTTAAGTTTGTGCTATATAAGTATTCAAATCCCTGAACCAATGATCCACTGCAGCAAAACGTGCAGCTTAAGGCAGTCCAGAGCTCTATACACATTAATAAAAAGGGTGCCACAAAATCTTGAGTATTGTGGTCGTATAAAAATTACATAAAATCACATTAAACTACGCTTTCACTAAGGCAAATATATTTTTGAAGCAATTGGTACACGCATGATCACCACAGAAGATTAATTATCTTCCCCTGGTCTTGTGTGACTATCATTTAAGTAATTTTGCCTGTCACTTTAATGGCCATAATATTAAAAAATGGTTACTTAAATTGCCATAATATTAAATAATTAAAAATACACAATAAATACAGTTAAATTTATTATTTTTTTTATGCAAAATCTCTTAAAAAGACCCGAGAAAAGTTGTGAAAACTCAAGCTTGCAAATGAAAACCCCATTCATGCCTTATCAGACTGCCACATACAGACCTAATGAGCTGAATTATCAAGACTTACTGAGCGTTGAGTTTGGAGGTTATTTGGGTAGGTGGACATTTGCTTTTTTATAAAATAGTATTAATACAAAGATTATTATAAAACAGAATAAAGCACATCATCAAACATCGAGATATAACCATGGTGCATACCATATAACCTACAATAGAAAGGGAGTCACTGTGGTCAATGAGTAAGACGTTGGCTCGCTAACCTAAACAGATGGTCAGGCAAGGGTCAGTGTATAGTTTTTCGGATGGCACGAAAAACCAAGGTCCCGTGTACACATTATAGTACCTAACAAATCACTTGGCAGTTGGAATTTGATATAAAAGTAGTTTGTTGTGCCATTGTCTGGGCATAATTTCCCTCATAGAAAACTGTATGGTGTATGCCTGTCTTCATTTCTATAATAGAATGTTCACTTCTAACTTATTGCAAAAAAGAGAGACTGAGAGAAATGCGGTTTAGTGTCTATTCAGCATAAACTAGGTCATTTCAGGACTAAGATACGACATTAGACTACCAAGCCAACCACCATCCACCAGCAGAGTATTCAGATCAACAGTTTAAGCACAAATTTACATCAAAATCTGTTAATTGTCTGAACTCCATAAATAAAAGGTGGTATCAGATGATCTATAAATAGTAAGCATACCCTGCCTCATGCAGTAACTAAATGGAGCTATACCGGTATACTTTGTACTTGGATTTCGGAAGCCAAAGGTACTGGATATAAAGTATCGGACCAAAGTTATGCCAAGATGAAACAAGAATACCTAAACAAAAATTTATATTAAACAATTGTATTAACTTTAACATCATCAATACTCAAATGTTCTGTGGTATCTACTATTTCATTTGTTAAATTATCATTCTTTGAACTCTCTACAGAAACTATATTATCACTTATATCATTGGTTATTTGAGAAACCTCTGAATTCTCAATCTTAGTACAGATTTGATTGGATAATCCTTCAACCTTTGAACAGTTATCTGTTATTTGATTGGGCAATTCATTGACCTGTGAACTTGCTAATTTGTCTTCAACCTTATCAGTTATTTGACTGAGTGATGAATCAGTTCTTGAATTGGAAGGTTTGACTTCTGTGCTATCAGGAATTTTATGTAACATTTTACTATTAACATTCGATTCGTCTGTTGCATTTTCTGTTTCATTTTTACTAAGTTTTTTGGCTGCTTGTATCTGATCTGAACTTTGTTTATTTTTATTTGTAGCGTCCATAGAAGATGATTTATCTGAAACCTGCTCTGATTTTGTTGTAGATGCTTTGGGTACTTTCATTGGTGGCATTTTGTTAAATATGTCATCCACCATTCGATTGGTCAGTTTGTTTTTAGCTGGAGATGTCAACTGAAAAATAAAGTAAATATATTGATTGGGAAGATAGAAGGTAATTAATTTATCCACAATCCTTAAAATTCCAAAACAAAAATTATAAGCATTATCAGCTCAACCTTTTTCTTGATAAAGACTAGAAACTCCATGTTGAACCATTTATTGATCAAGACTAGACACAGTGCTTGGCTTGGCAGACTCAAGGCTAAGGCCACAAGATATAGGGGGCCTCTGGCCAAGGTGTATAATATCTTTGACACTGTTATATGCCTTTCTTCCACCCATCACCACTGTAGTCTCAAACATCCATCTTCATCCTCGGTTTTGCTCTATTGTGTTTAAACCACACTTTCATCTTCCTCTAGTCATGTGGGTGAGGGTGTGGGAGGGGCCTTGTAAGTGGAATAGCCTAGGGCCTCTCTCTCGATCTAAATCTGGCACGTCGCCAAGCAATCGAATAATTTCTTTCGTCAAGACCAGAGAATCCAATATTACCTTTTAGTTTACTAATTATCATTTGTACTTGAAAACGATAAGAGAAACGCTGTGTTTTGGGGGTTTTTTTGCCCATGAAACAATTGCCTATGAAACAATTTTAACAGGTCCAGTGCTGAGGCTCATGTCTCCCGTCTCAATCCCCAAATAAACAGATGGGACTTTTTAAACTACTTCCCAAGTTTATCTTTTTACAAAAATTGCTTATCACTCTGCATTATTAAAGATACATTATGGGAGATTTTTATAGAGAGTTGGCCATTCTTGCTATAAGAGTTCAAAAGTAGATGATGAAAGAAGAATATATTGAAAAATTCAGTCAAATTACTTTATTCTGAACATAGTTATCATCGTTGTAATATTTGCCTAGAAATGGTAGCGAATTGTGTCTTCACCTTCGAATTGTGTCTTCACCTTCGCTGATTGTTTGATTGACAGGCGTTAACTCCACCTACATATCTCGATTATCAAGTAAAGTTTTCAATGGCATACCGAAACGCTTTACAGCGGCCTCGCTAAGTACACTCTATCATTTAGCCTCGATCTAACTGACGTATTTTCATCAGGTTACCCCTTATTTGATTTAATCAATTAGTGAAATCCTATTTAAATCCGAGCCATCTGTGGGTCTACAGAGTTGATTTTGGGCTTGTTGTTTAAATAAAGATCTAATTTATAATTTCTATAACATCTGAAGCCTAAATTAAGACTTGCAATAATCAGATTTAGCTCTTGCATAATGCATGTTTAAGGTAATGTAATAATGAAACTATACACTAGTTTCATAACTCCCCCTAAATTAATGCTCATCATCAAACTCAGTCAAGACATGATGCTTAATTACGAGCAGATTTATTGTGTCTCAAAAAGTGTGATGACGGATGAACCCATTTTAATAGTCCTCTGCTTTCTTCGACATACTGGGGACAACAAACTTACAATAGCATTCCTGGTCATATTAGAGCCTGGTTTAGTTTTAGAAGATTTACTGTCCAGTCCCCTTAACTCTTCAAACATATTGATAGCATTTAAAATAGTCTCTTTAATCTCTGGAGATTTGGCTCTGTCAGCAGCTGTTTCTCCTCTCTGTGGGAACAAAAATTGTATTATTTTAAATGACTCAATTCCATGACAGCAATGTACAAAAGTTAAAAAGCATAAAAATAAATTACATCTAAAATAAAACACAGATCGGGGGCGTGTCCAGGAATTTGAGTAGTGAGGGGTTACCAGAGAATTTTATAAAATAAAAAGCTCTGAGACAATATTTCTGCTCATTTTGGCGCACACATATATAGGATTAGAGTGGGGTGGCGTCAAAATGATGACATTGCTTCAAACGTTTGTTTCTTCAATGTTATTTCAATGAATGTTGAAGAAAGAAAATATGCGAGCAGTTGGGGGTCCGGACCTCTGCACATGCACTTGGAGATAAAGTTTGGTAACTGAATTACATTCTGTTTGACTTTTATTTAAGTGCTTTAGGAATATGATATGGCAATTAATGTAATAATATACGTAAAATTGATGACTTTATTTCATGGATAATTATAAATGATTGCATGGTTTCTTAACAACAAATGACAATGACATGATGAAATCTTGTAAGTAAGATAATTAGAAACTAGAACTGCAGAATTATTTTCTACCTTGGGTAATGTACATTTTCAAATCACAGCTGCTTTTGTTTGTTCATTGTGTTATTGATAATGGAATTGATGTACTTACGTAAGCTCTAATAGTAGGATCTACACCAGCTTCTAACAATAGATAGACCAACTCATCCTGACCACGATCAGCTGCCCAGTGTAATGCAGACCAGTTATTCTATAATATACATTATAATAAGGTTCCTATTGAAATAAACTCTTTCAGCGGGAGAATGACAAGATAATTGAACTGGATACACAGTCTATGAAAAACAATTGCTGTTTATTACTAAGTAACCTTTCGACCAGAATTATGTAGGTTTTGTATATGAAATCTGTCAACTAGACTAGTTGGTTTTTTTTCAGCACACTCTGGATTATGAATATTTCAATGTCCTAACCACAAGACTACCATATCTCTTTAAATAATAAAACCAGCAATATTATGGATATGAAGGGTAAAAAAATTTTGAATTACTATAACAAAAATGTGTGTCAGTAATTCTCGTTCCCTAGTTCTAACAAAATCGTATCTCTTAATTTGTATGCAATCGAAAGGTAAGTAAAAATATTTGAATAATAAAATGTTGCTGAAGAAGTTTATTTAGGTAAATGTTGCTGATGAAGTTTATGTAGGTAAATGAGGAGGACTTACAGAAGAACCAGTACAATTAATATCACAACCAGCCTCTATAAAAGCTGTAGCTACTTCCGAGTGTCCATGGTAACTAGCAAACATTAAACCTGTAAAATCAGCCTGAAATGGATCCAAACCACTGCTTCTGTTAAATAAATCAGTTACAGGTATCATGCATGAGGAAAAGGATGCTTATGCTTTCTGGAACACCCGATACCACCTCCTAAACAACTAACAAACTATTGTTCTACTTTTATATTATTGATTCAAAGTAAAGCTTAAAGTAAAGTGGAGTAAAAAGTAAAGAATCAAGGAAAAACAGTTTGTTCTCTTTTATCAAATTGACGAAACCAATGGAAATTCAAATAACATAGAATAGTAAGAATTATAAATTTCTAGCCCCTGTGTTTTGAAGATACTAAGTTACCTAATTGATGTGTATAATAAAGAATGATTTACCTCCCCTAGATCACTACCTCTAGCATCTTTATCTGATCCAGCTTGTAACAACAATCTAGCTATTTCACCTAGAGTTATCTCTTCTTTCTCTTTAGATCTGGCTACCTCATGTACAGCTGTTCTAGAATCCTGTTAAATATAAACATTGAATACAATCAACTCCTGTAGAGCTGTTCTAGAATCCTGTTTAAATATAAAACATTGAATATAGTCAACTAATATAAATCCTGTTCATATTTAATACAGATTGCCACTGGAATTGATCCAGTGAAATTCAGGTTACAATCAAGTGGCACCTCATTCTTTGAACATATTCAAAGGACATATTTTGTAGAGAATAGAATGGGGTGTAATAATTCATAAACAGAATACTTCTGTCTTAATGAGACAAACACGTTATTTTCATTCCACTGGTTACATCTGAAATATGCAAGATAGGACTAGGAGAACTTTGTGTTTCCACCAACTCTTCTTCAATTTACAACAACTGCCTGAGTTGCCAATAGCTTGAGAGTATTAAAGGTCACTAGAAAAGCTTCATAAATTTTTTAGATAATGCAAGTTATTATTATTATTATTATTATTATTATTACAGCATATTTATAGTGCACCCTTTCATATAACATGTTCAGGGGCACTTTACAAAGTGACAATGTAAATCACACATAAACAACAAGATTATGTGCATGTCAACATATCCTTTCCATAAGTATAATATTAACCCGAATGTCAATATATGTCACATATCCTAATAGTATATAACACCCTAAATCAATATACATTGTATCCGATAACTTGTCTGCAATATCACTTTGATGGAAGCGGGCATGAAATAAAGCTATTTCACTCTTAGACATATCCGAATAATACTAGACAATGCAAGCTCTGTTTCTGATCGCACGCGTTTATAGTACAATAACTGAAACAGAAGTAGAAATTTCGCGAGACGCATGAAATTATGAAATAGAAACGTGACAAATACTACACGTCTAATGTCGGAGAAAAGATTCTATATTGATGGCATATTCTCGAATTGTATTATCATATTTGGAATGGGGTTCATGTTTTTAAATAAATAAACACGCTAAGAAATGGTGATGAATATTTCAATTGGAATAGTGTAAGAAGTTATTTGTTAAGAAAATAGCGCGTGCTAGAGTAGAATGCGATTATTTAGCAGATGATGTCTGTGACTCGCTCATTGTGGTAGAGCGACGGCTACTGCCAAATAAATTTTGGGATGTCATTTTTTTTTACCTTCCGTTTATAAGTGAAAACAGAGTATAAGACGAATGCTGGACTTCCGCTGAAAAATGTATCGACTTATACCCTGAAAAATATGTTTATTTTGGAGGAATTTGAAACAGGTACGGATTGGCAGGAGTCGACACACTTTCATTCAATCATATTACGACAACATCTGATTTTGTAGGAATATTAATGACATAAATTTGAATACTGTATGGGAATTAAATATAAAAAGTAACAAGTTGCACCTATTTTTTTTAATACGTACGAATTTGAATATTTTGTTGACACATGATTTTTAATTATGGTCTGAAACCGCCTGCTTAAATAATGATAAGAGTTATGCCCCTTTATTTTCGGTAAAACTGTCCGACAAGAAAAAATTTGAAATCCCAACACTGGTGGCTAGTCAGAACATTTTGAAAATAAACAATCTGTGACGTCATTTTAGTCCTGCTCATAGAAATATAGACTAGAATATGAGCAGAAGGACCAAATTGACATCACAGATTGTTTATTGATGGAAAGTTACGACTACTCATGGAGAATGGCGGAAATTACTAACATTGGAATTTACCTGTTGAAGGTAATAATTACATTTGGGTTTGTGTTATACTCATGGAAAGGATATGTTGACATAATTACTTGCATTATATATATATAAAAAAAATAAATTGAAGCTTTTCCGGTGTGCACCAATCCTCAGCAATAATGCGATAAATCTGAATGCATGAGGATCAACGGAACTAAAAGACCATGGGTGGGATTAGTTAGAAGAATGGACTAAAAAGCTGGACATAGTGTGCATATCTCATGTTCATCTGTACAACTGACTACCGCTCTCACTGTCTTAATGTAGAATGATTCAAATACATCATACTATGTCAGCATCAGAAATGTCACGTGAGGATCACCTTTAATGTCAAACACCCCTACTAACCTTATGAGTAATGGTGATATCACATTTATTTTTAAGGAGAACTTTAACTGCCTTTAAATGACACCAATAAGCTGCGTTATGTAATGCTGTCCATCCATTCTACAAATAAACCACATATATTTAAATCCATTCTATAAACCCAACCACATATATTAACACATATAGGTCTACAACTTTTATCATGGCCCAAGGCCGTACCAATTTGATTTTCTGGTTTTCAGGAAAACCTGTTAAAATTTTTCAGCTAATTTAAAAAACCAAAGGTTCTTGGTTGCACTATTTAAAAGCTTTTAGTTCCAACTTTTTGAGTTTTGAAATTTTAAACAAAATATCTTTTACATGATTCACATGGCTATTTATTTATCCAGACCCTGACTTCAGCCCAAGATATAGTTTTTCTTTGTGTTATATAGGATTAAGAAACTGGCACTTAGCTCAGAGAAATTAACTTGTCAATCATGGCATTAGATATTGAGGGACTGTGGTTTGTGGTCAATAAAATACATACCTTATCCTCTGTATCTATTTTACAACCTGCCGATATTAACGTCTGCATAATATCACTGTGACCTTTCATAGCCGCATGATGTAATGGGGTATTACCACGCTAAAAAATATACCATAAATAAATTTTTCATGAAATAAAAATGTCAAAATTATTGCACTTTATAGATTGTAGAAAATGGTTCGTAAAATCAATACACATCAGTCAACGAAGGTATAAACAGAATAAAATTAAGGCGGGGAGAGAGAGAGAGAGAGAGAGAGAGAGAGAGAGAGAGAGAGAGATAGGGTTTAAGGTCCACTTGACTCAAACTAGGTCATTTCAGGACTAACATACATATGGTTCAACTTTATTTCAATAATTCGCTGTCTGTAGAGAAGGGGTCTGTAGCAGTGGACCTGGAGAAAATCCACGAGGTTGGACAGGCGACCCTACTCCTTGTCACGTACAAGCAGGGAATCGAAACCATGCCACTTGACACAATGACAGACCTTCTGATCCAACGTGCACGTGTTAATCATTCGGTCACCCAACCCCCCTAAAATTAAGGGAGTTAACCTCATTTATTAGGTCAAAAGCATAAAATTAAAGAAGATAAAACAGTCGAGTGATTTTGTAATAATATTTTAAACTTTTTTTAAAAAAAATTAGAAAGTAATTCTAATAAACTTACAATATCTGTGACATTGACATCACAATTTTGTTCGAGCAAAAGGCGAACAATTTCAGGTTTACCCTGTGATGCTACATGTATAGGACAACAATCATGCTGAAATAAACAAATCCACTAAAATAAAATATAGTACCATCAATCCTTATGGGTAGTCAAACCCAGCTGCTGTAGATACAGTATAGTTTAATGTGGACTTCACCAGAACTCTGATTAAAATATAGATCTATGATTCGTTTCGTTTTTTTATACTTTCGATGGCCTACACTACATGAAGATCTGACAAGTTGTACTCGAAGGTCGTGTCAGGGGTCGTACGAGCGGATTTTGACCTAATGACGTCAGACATTGATTAATCAATCAGCGTTGACGTTTCTAGTGGTTTACCCACAGTTCCATGCATGGCAAGCCAAGAAATCGCTGTAACAGATCCTTTCATTGGCTTATCTCTCACTTCAACCATAACACCATTAATATAACAACTCTTCCAGATCCTAGTGTAGTAAAGACAAGTAAAATGAAATTTTGAACTACAAAAAACGAAACGAAATAGGATCTGTGTTTTAATCAGATTGACTTCAACAGGGTAACGCATGCGTACCAACGTAACTTGCATTGCCATGGCAAAGTACAATGTAGTATCAGGTGCTTATAAAAAGAGTAACCATAATCTTCCTCACCTGTAATGGCATTGTTATGGTAAAGTAGTGTCAGGTGCTTTGAAAGAGTAAGCATACTCTGCCTCACAGTCACCCATGACACCCATCACTACTATACTAACACATAATAGGATAAATACAGAAAAATAATTTTGTGAAATAGATTTGTGATGACAGGCATCATATTTTACCATAAAAATTAATAATAAAAAAAGATATACTAATATCTGAACAAAATATTATTGTAATAGTTCAAGTCAAAAAATGTAACTAATCTGCACTGACACGCCAAAGAAACTTCATTTAAAAATCTAGATAACACCATCCAGTCTCTACTTTCTAAAGTAAGTTAAAATCCATCATGACTTTTTGGATTAAAGTAATATTTTCTTAATAAGCCATTTAAATGTTTCCTGCACTGAATTTTTGGAGCCAAGTAACTTTATTTTGGACAAATGTACCTTTGGCTGAAATCCATTATGCAGTTTAGGATGTTGTAAATAAATCAATTTCCAATTCAATGTGCCCCTTTATATTTAAATTTGCCCATCCGCAGAGCCCATTTCATGCTCCAGTGCCCTCAAGTTGTCCAGCCCTTTCACATTAACAAACTTAAATCCATTCCGCTATTCTGAAGAAGTTTTTTTAAATATCCTAAATCTGACCCTTAAAAGATGCCCCAGCACAAACAACTTACAGTGTACGAGACCCAATTAACGTCTATTCCTTCCTCTATATATCTCTCCACACGTCTCACATGACCAAATCCACATGCTTCCCAGAATGCCTCTTGACGCGACGCAGCTTGACCCATTAATACTTCTTATTCACCTGTACCGAAATTCTAACCAATCTGAAAAATACATAAATATAACTTCAATAATTAATACTGTATTAAATACAAATCCCACAATACAGCCCTCAGTTACCTCTCGTGTCAGTTCTTGACACATCTTTATTGAGACTCAATAGGAAAGGGTACTGGCCTGATATACATGTAAGGTTGACAGCATACAAGATTTTTCCCCTAATTATACCTGTCATGATAATACTGACTTACTAATTAGGCTGCAGATCAAGGTATATATAAAGCACAAACAACATGTTAAAACTGATGTGAAATTAGAAACTCTTCTTTCAATTTATTAATGACATCACTGCAATATAATACATAAATGTCAACAAAGTGAGCGGTGGGCCGGTGGCCACAATAAAATTACTGTACATGCAAATCAAAATTAGTGTTTTCATTCCATGTATTCAAGTTGTTGCTCGATTAACATCTGGGCCCTTATTCACGAAAACTTAAAATAAGATACAATCGAAATTTTAAGAAATACTGCAATTCGATTGGCTGACCAATATGCAAATTGGATATATGCAAATTGATTTTACTGGTCAGCCAATCGAATTGCAGTATTTCTTAAAATTTCGATTGTATCTTAGTTTAAGTTTTTGTGAATAAGGGCCCGGAACCCATATTAAAAACAAGAGTGCATTCTAGTCCTTTGATGACAGCATAATAGAACCTTTAACCTCGATTAGTCCGATAATCAAATGTCTTTACAAAGACTTCAAAGAATTTTCAGTATGAAAGAATTTGATTGGTATGTGTAGATGCATGGAGTCAACCAATGACAACCTACGCATAACTGGACCAGCAGAATAAAGAAGTGTCTTTAAACCACAACAAAGTGGAGCAAACAACCAAAATTTAAAACAGAACTAAATGTTGTTGATGTAGCTAGTTTGTCTACCCATTCACAGTTACTATACATAACATATTACCGTATATAAATCAAGTCAGAAGATTTCACAACCCCTTACTTCTCCCCTTTAAACAATTTCCAGGGGGAAACATTGCCTGTATAAATCTGCAAGAAGATTTGACAACCTTACCTGGCTCATGAAACAAAATCATCTTGTATAACTGGCACTAAGTGAAGCTACATTTACACGTAAATGAAGAGAGAGGATAGGATTTATTTAAATACCATCATACAGATCATCGACACTCCTATAGATGTACTAATTAACATTCCTGTTTATATTATCTATTTATGTGTACCTAATTATTACTTATAATTACAGTAAAACTGAACAGATTGATACAACTACATATACCAAGCCTTCCCATTTAAACAAACTCTCATCAGGCGAAAACAAATGCAATATCTTATTCAAAATCATTTTAGGATTTGACTGTTAATGAGTATTTGCTAAACTCTGTGAGATTTTGTATGACTCATGAATTAAAAGTTAATATCTCTGCAATGGCTTGGCAGATGTATTATGCTATCTAAACTGAATAAGCCTGTTGTAACTGTGGCATCAAATCGTGTCAAATCAAAAAATGTTTTTTTACTAACGGTAAATGTCCTATACAACACTTTAAAATCAGGTAATTCTAGTTGATTTGGGGAGTCACATGGCTACAATATCTTACTGCTTAAGAACACCTAATTTCACAAGAATTTATTATCCAAAAATTGGATTGTTGCCTGAAAGCCTAATGACATCTATAAAGAATGAGGAAAATCTGACTGGCATCAAGAATTGTGCCTATTTAAAGATACATTATGGGAGATAAGATAAAGAGCTGGCAGTTCTCACAATAATAGTTAAAAACTAGATCATGTAAAGGCAATTTGCTAAAAATTTCAGTCAAATTAATCCACTCTAAACCAAGATACAATGTATAACGATTGAATTTTAGGCCTAGCCTCGATCATCATAACTAAAGTCGGTATGATAAAAAAAACTATGAACCGAGAATTAAGGAATTGAAATTTCGGCCTAGCCTCTATCATCATAACTTAAGTCAGTACGATAAAAAACATAGTCTCGATCATCCATTTCATGATTAAGTTATGAATGGAAGTCGAGAAGCAAATGTGATCATAATCCAATAAATATCGCAGACTAGCGATGCCACCGAGAGTTGATTATGGTCTGGATAAGTTAATTAATGTCTAATTAATAATTTAGATAACATTTCAAGCCTAAAGAAAGCCCTGCAATTGGCAGATTTCGCTCTTGCATAATTTATGTTTAAGCTAATGGTTCACAATATTTTTAGCACCTAGACTCACTTGAAGTGTTTGGAAATTAAGTCGTCACACCAATAAACTACAACTGTAAAACTGTAATCATTGTAATGAGTATTTAATTTTGAGCACATTTACTGCTGCTGATTTTAAAAAGTCACTTACAAAAAAAATTCTATCTGAAAATGAATCATACCTACAGGTAGTTTTTTAATATTATTTTGCATGACACTGAATAGTACCGTAAATATTTCAGTTAGGTTCTATATAATTTACTTATTTAATACGTAATTTTCAAAATTAACTAAATGACTAAATTTCTATTGTAATATTAAGACTAAAATAACAATATTTAAACATAACATGTGTTTAAGACGACATATATAAATTAAGAATTTCAAGATTTGTGCTTTGGGCACGGTCCATCATTTCCGACTAAATCTTGCGACAACCGTTCTTTACTTTGGCAATAAAAAGCTGATTTTTGTAAACCATGTTGGTTCTATAGTGTATGTGTGTGGTGTGGTCCCCCTGCACGTACTATATATATATATTGGTATTCTGCTGTGAACTTGAGGCATTAATGACTAAAAGCTAGCGGTTAACAGTGTTTTAGTTTAAGGCTTAATCTTTTGACTTTTATTGAAGGTCTAGTACTAATTGTTTTTTCATGACTATAGTGGAACTCTTGGTAGATACTCATAGCACACATGTTGTGAACCGCTACCTTAAGCCAAACAAACTAAATTTGTCCTGATTAACCTACTAATTTAATTATCTCTAAGTTTCTATTACTAATGTATCCATTCCATTCTAAACAACCCTTGACTTAATTCCACAATTCTACTTATATACATAAACATACATTCTATTTATCTATTACATATGACTGTTTTATAAGGATGGGTAAAATTACTAAAAACAGGTTAATTCAGTTCACAAAAAATCTCAGATGAACACACATTCAAGAAACTCCCAGTAAAATATTATTATCATAAGTGTCAAGTCTGAAGACAAAATCAATGAGTAAAATAGTATTACCATGAGTATCAAGTTTGAAGAAGAGATCAATGAGTAAAATAGTATTACCATGAGTATCAATTCTGAAGACGAGATCAATGAGTAAAATAGTATTACCATGACTATTGGGTCTGAATACAAAATCATTGAGTAAAATATTATTACCATGAGTATCAAGTCTGAAGACGAGATCAATGAGTAAAATATTATTACCATGAGTATCAATTCTGAAGACGAGATCAATGAGTAAAATAGTATTACCATGACTATTGGGTCTGAATACAAAATCATTGAGTAAAATAGTATTACCATGACTATTGGGTCTGAATACAAAATGAGTGAGTAAAATATTATGACTATGAGCGTCAAGATAAAAACAGAACCAACAAGCCAACAGTGAGGCTGATGTCCCCCGCCAAAATACCAAAATAAAAAGATGACACATATTAATTAATCGCACATTTATTTTTTCGAAAGTATCAAGCAATTAAACATTACACTAAGTTTTATCACTCTCTATCAGATAGAATCAAGATTATCTTGTCCCAAACCATCGACAAATGAAATCGATTAGCTCTGTTTAGCGTCAGCTCGAAATATTAATCATTGAACTCAGTCAAGGCATTAACCTAATGAACATCTACATCAAGTTTAAACATTCACCTAATTAACATCTACATCAAATTTAAACAGACAATAAGTAAAATACCCAATAGAAAACTACCAGTAGTTAAGACACCCCATAAATATACACAGTGCCAAGATCATATACCAAGAATCAAACATGTTTGTTGATATTTCGTTTCATTTCAAAATCTGATGCCATTTTTATGACAATAATGATCAAGGTCGATTTTGGATTTTGAATTTTACATCTCATTTTTATGGTGGCTGATAGTGGCCATGTTAAATCTCGCCCTTTTCATAGCGCGACAACACGACATCACGACAGTATTGACGCAATCATACGACACTTAACTCTGTCGTATCATCGTGTTATTTTTATCGTAACGTCGAGATGTCGACTTATTGTCCTAGTCTCTTTCTACAAGTCACAAAAATACAGCTGTACTCATTACATCAGATACATATACATAGATACATATAAATAAGACTCGTCAAAAGAGATAATAGGAAAACGTTGATTCGTTTTCTAAAAAAAAATGAAACATTTTGCGCCCAAAATTGAATTATATTTGGTATTACATTCAAAAAATCTAGAATCATAATAGCAGGACAAAAGTGAGTCAGCTATGTTAATTCCTTGAATAAGAAGTGGTGTCGGTAGGTATCGAACAAGTATGCATTGCCTCGTGTACGACACCCACCAATACTTATAGATTACTGAAGCGATAGTTTAGAAGCGATTTCAGAAGATTTCCAATTTATTTTATTAGAGTGGGAAGGGGATTATATAAAACCTCAAATCAGACCACATAAAATCACCGCATTGGTGTAGCACGCCATCCCAATAAGTGCAGGGGAGGTTTTTTATGAGGTGAAGAAAGCGATTTGCAGCTGTTATTGACCTTATCGCATATTCATCCGTTTGGCATCACTAATGGGATCGGGGCCTAGATGATTAAAAATAGGCCCAGTATTGCCTTCAGCTATGAACACACTCCGAAAGTCCCCTACGCACCCCCCCCCCTCTTATTTTGTTTAACAAATAATTTCGGAATCAATAAAATGGTAGGTCCCTATCAATGATGTTTGACACGACTGGAAATTAATGTGTCTAAAATTGATTAAACAACATAGGGTAGTAAATATTACATTTTGAATC